ATAAGGTCTAATATACATTCTAAGAACAAGTTGCTGGACCTTGTTCATCTGCTCAGTCTGACCATTTGTCTCTGGATGGCGGCCAGACAACATCAACAACTTAGAGCCATATACTTTCATAAGTTCCTGCCAGTTCTGACTAGTGAACCAGGTGTCTCTGTCACTAACTATTGACAGTGGTAGACCATGCTCACTGACCCAATGATCAAAGAACTTTTCTATAACTAGATCTATACGTGCCTCGACAGGCAAAGGGACAAAAACTGCATACTTGCTAAATCTATCAACTATAACCATGACTTGAATCTTGCCATGCCTACTCCTGACCCCAGTATCCATGAAATCAATGGACACAGAATCTCCTGGTCCTGATGGGATAGGCAGGGGTCTGAGAAGACCCAGTGGGGCTCCCGTCGTAGTTTTGTTGCGCTGGCATACCTTGCAACTACGCACATACTCTATGCAATTGGCTTTCATGCCAGGCCACGTGTAGGCGCGTATGAGGTTGGCGAGTGTCTTTTGCCAACCGAAGTGTCCTTTCGTATCCTCACATTCCCCAAGGATCAGACTGCGGATCTCTTCGTTGTTGGGAATGCATAGCCGATCTATGACGTCTGTGTTCTCAAACAATAACCCATTAGTGGTGCGGTAGTGTGGTTCACTGGCTGGATCCTCCTTGACTCTCTTGAGGAGGTCACTATAGAGAGGGTACTGCACCCGAGTCTATGACTCTTTGCTGTAAATCTGACCCTATATCCAGATAGTGAACTATAGCTCCAAAGTAGCCGACTCTCCTACTAAGGGCATCTGCAACCACATTATACTTCCCTTTGACTGGCTTGAGCTGGAAGTCGAATTGATCTATCTCGGCAGCCCACCTAGTAAGCTTAGGTGTCATCTTGGCCTGCCTCTTCAACCACCTCAATGTGTCCTGGTCTGAATAGACTTTGAAGTGCCTCCCAAGCAAGTAGTGTATCCAATGGTCTAATGCTTGCTTGAGAGCGTAGAGTTCCCTCTCATAGGTGGATGTCGCTACCTACCTAGCGGACATGAACTCTACGGGCCTATACACATTGCCATCATCTTGATGTAAGACAGCACCGATGCCATACCGACTTGCATCAGTAGTAACAACAAAGGGTAAAGATGGACCAGCTACCATGAGGACTGGGTACACTATCAAGGCCCGCTTCAACTTCTTCAGGGCCGATGTACAATCTTGGTCCCACTTCCAGATTGTGTCTTTCTTTAGCAGTTTGTGAAGGGGAGCAGCGACTGCATAGAAGTTCATCGTGAACCTCATATAATAATTAGCCAATCCTAAGAACGACCTCAATTTTGTGAGGGTATGCGGGGTTGACCAGTCTCTGATCGCTGTGATCTTTGTTGTCCTCAGGCTTTATGTCGTCACTATCTAAGACGTGGCCCAAGTACAAAATCTCTGTCTTGGCCCATTCACATTTCTTTGCATTGATTTTGAAATTTGCTTCATAACTTCTTCAGGATCTGCCTTAGATGAGCCTCATGCTCCTGAAGGGTCTTGCTAAAAATTAGAATATCGTCTAAGTAAACAACTACAAAGCTATCTAACCACGGTCTAAACAAATCATTCATGTAGCGCTGAAATGTGGGCAGTGTGTTGGTGAGTCCAAAATGCATCACTATAAATGCGTAATGCCCGTATTCAGTCCTGAACGCCGTTTTGTATTGGTCATCAGGGTGGACTTATATCTGGTGGTACCCTGACTTCAAATCTATCTTTGACAAGTACTTGCAACCTTGCCCCCGACCTAGCAGATCATATGTGCGGGGCAGTGGTTCTACATTCTTCACTGTTCCGGCGTTGAGACCCCTATAGTCAATGCATATTCTAAGCTCTCCCTCTTTCTTGGGAACAAAGAGAACAAGTGCTCCAAATGGAGATGAACTGGGCCTAATCCAACCTTTCTCTAGGAGCTCGTCTAACTGCTTGCGCAACTCCTCTAATTCCTCGAGAGACAATTCTATACACTGCGAGGTTCTATCTCAATGCGGTGTCGGATAGGATGCGGAACTACTCCTAATGGAGCCTCTGATCGATCTGCGTACTCTTCCAATAGTTTGGTAATAAGTGGGTTGGTGGGTTCCTCTTTCTTAGGCTCAGTGACTGGCCTAGCATAGGCCACAAAGACCTGCTCCTCTAGTTGCTCCTTACTAGTCGCACGAACGCAGGAGCACTGAGACAGCAATGTGTCAGTGGGTTGTTTACTCTCGACACATGGAACAGGCGTGCCGTCTTGACACCAACTGATGGACAAGGAAGCCTACACTCGTGTTCTCTTAGATGCATTGTGGCTCATGTTGCCTCTCCCCAATCCATCCCTAGGACCATATCAAACGGGATATTGTCCTCAACGAGGAGAGTCTGGGAATGGAGAACTCTCTTAACTTTCCCACCTTTCTTTAGGCGAAAGTACGCCTGGACTCCCTCGACGTAATCCTCAATTCGCATTGTGCGATTGTTTGCGAGGATACAGACCATGGGATCATCTAGCTTTTGGACTTTCAGATGAAGCTTCAGCTTCTTTAGCGCTGTACGACTAATATAGCTATGGGTGGCCCCAGTGTGTATAAGGGTCCCTACCCTGCCTATGAAGACCTCTACATTTACTAACACTACCTTCTTACCCCGAAAAAATGTACATACGTTCTATTCGAATTACCCTCGAAAATCGGACTTTTAGAAATCGCTCTTTTTTTTTCGAATAGAACGTACGGTCAAATACAACGTACGTACGTTGTATTCGAATACAATTTACGTACGCTGTATTCGGACTCTGTAGCATTTGAGATATTTTTCACTATCTAAAACAACGTTAAAAAAAATCCAAAAAAAAAAAAGTCCAAGAACAATGCAATACAAACATCTTTTGCCTCAAGAGTATTGTTGAAATTTGCTGCCAAATTTGGGGGGAAGGTGGGGGAGGGGGGGGAAAGTTTTTTTTTCCTCCCCCCCCCCCCCCAACCGAAATTAGATGGGGCCGGGGTCCTCGTAGTCTACCTGGGAGTGAACTTGCTGGGAGCATTACCCTGTTTCGCTTACGGGGAGTGTCTGAGGCCCTGAGGGGACCAACCCCCTCCTGAAAAATGGAACAGACATAACAACATGACTTGCCCTGCGCCTTCAGGGTTTTTTTTTTTGTTTTTTCTTAAATCGAAATGACGATGAAATCAGCATATATTTCCAATCAGAGAATTGAAGGGTGGTCCAGGCCTTCGGTCTCTCACAATAATGAATCGGCACCTAATAGATGGAAAGATTCACGACCAAAAGTTGTTTTTAATGCATGTGGTAAGTGGTGGAGCGAGCCCCCTTCTGTGACGCGCTTATTTCAGGGGCGAACAGGATATGGGTATAGGGCTTTCGTTGGTGTTTTTTTTTTTTTTTTTGCGTATATTCCAGGGGCCAGGACCACCCTCTCGTAACTCAGAATTCGAATACAACGTACGTACGAATACAACGTACCCTGCGAAAGGCCGTCGTGGAAAAGTTGTGCCCTAAAATTCGTTGCAGAACGTACGTACGTTGTATTCGAATACAACGTACACCGTACGTTGTATTCGTTTACAACGTACGTACGTTTTTTTCGGGGTAAGAAGGTGGCTGCCCTTTTCCATCTTTCTTCGTTTTGGCCTTGGCTGGCATCCTCTCCTTCAACTCTTCTGCCTGTCCTGTTAGGGAAGCACCAAGAGAGACCCTAACACAAGCAGTTTCTAGACAACTAACTAGACGCTGGCCAACAACCTCTACCATAGATACATGTGGGTTGGGAGTTTCTACTTGGCGCGCACACTTATTGACAATGTGTCCCGGATCACCACAAAACACACACTGCCAATTATCTTTTTAATCCTGCGAGTCATTCTTTTGAATGGCCAGGGTTTCCCAGGGCCTGCCCTAAGGCAGACCGGGATGCTATTCACCCCTCTTGGGAGGTGACCGATTGGAACGTGAAAGGTTTGATGGGGGACCTTGACCCCTTCCTCTCTCTTGGCAGCCTCCTTTGCCGCCTTCACCTTGGTTGGCCTGTCCTCGACCACCAAAGGCCCGGCCCCCTTGACCCCGACCTCTCCCTCTTCCTTGCGACCTTTCCCCGGCTGTGACAACAACGTAGGTCCTCCCTTGACCTTCACCATTGTCCTCCTCCTCGAGGCCCCACTTAATCTCACTATAAGGACCTCCACCAGACCACCTTCTTCGAACGAAAAAATAAGGTTATCTTTAGCTTTTACTTGACTGGTGATGGTCCGGCCTTTCCACCTTTTGCCTTTGTCAAGGTCCTTGTGCCAGAAAGTGGAAACTGGCATGGACTGGGCCTCGTAAGCAACAACCTCTCTACTAAGTGTATCATAAGTCATATTGGGCTGCTGCTTCTTATTGAAGAAGTGCCCATGTAGTGTCTCGGGCATGGCACAAAAGAACACTTGGACCAGTTGGGGCTTTGTAACCCCATGTCCAGGGACAACGACGAATTCATCCATGGTGGCCTCGAGTGCCCTTGCACTCCTCCACTGTCGCGAGTGGATTGTTTGCAGTTTGAGTGAGGCCCGAAGGCCCCTAGTGACATCTGCAAATCGTTTCCGGAGGGCAGTCATAAATTCATTCACGTGAGTAATGGAGGAGTATGTGACCATATCATTGTCACAGTTGGCGGCACGAGCATGCGACCTAGCAAAGCTAGTTGCTTCATCCTTCAGTGCGTGAAAAGTCACGAGAACTTGGTTCTCAGGGTTAATACGTTGAAGGTGTATATAGGATTTGATATTGGCTTCCCAATTATCAAAATCCTCTCCCTTCTCCTCTCCATAGGGGTCAGTGAATTTGCCCTTAATACGCTCACGACTAGGTCGTGCCTCCTCTTCTATGGAGGCCGCTAACTTGGCGCCTTCAATGGCACCGACACAAAACTTCTCAGTGTCCTCCATAGCAGCATGCAACTGAGTGTGCACTCGCATCATCATATCCCTAGCAAAATCCTTAAAACATATGTGCATGGACTGCAAGGCAATATCGTGGCCTCTTAAGTAACGCTATTGTTCTTACTGGGCTCGCAATACTACGTCCATATTCTGGAACAAAATCTGTATTTTCTGCTTGAGGTCTTCTTGTGCTGCCAATTGCCTTCTTTGCTCTTTGGCGGTCCTCAAGGCCTTCTCTATCATTTCAGCTGCCGCCAATCGCCGCCTCCTTTCCCTAGTAAGACGAAACTTCCATTCCAACTTTTTCTCCTCCTCCATGGTCTGTCGCTGCAACTCCGTTGCAAACGCCTCCCTCTCGCCCTGAGGGACAAGCAAGGATGCTTCCTCTTCCTCCCCCAGGGCCAGATTGGCCACCCACCGTGTTGCCATCTTCTCCATTTTTGCTTTTAGTTTGGGCGCCATACTGGATTCTCCTCTTTCTTCCATCCTTACATTCCTTTGCAGGGGAACCTCTACTACCCATTCTTCCTCTTTCTCTGCTTCTGCTTCCACTTCTGCATCTATCGCCGCCACTTTCTCCTCTTGTTCTTTCTCCCATTTCTTAATCTCCTCTTCCATTTGCTTTTGGTTGGCCTTCTGCTCTTCTATCAAGGCCAGCATCTTCGACTGCTTTATGAGCTCTTTCTCCACCATCCCTTTTCTCTCTCAGCAGGGTGGCGGCTTGCTCTTCTTGTTCTTTGCTATACGGGGTGGTACTTGTTCCTCCTCGTGTGGTCACCATGGTGAAGGATGCACAACCAGTGAAAGTTCCACTCACCACTTATACTTTACCACCCACTGACTGACTGACTGACACACTTTATTGGGAACCCAAAATCCTCTCAGATCCTGTCAACTAGGGTCTCTAGCTTGATCTACTTCTAGGCTGTCACTACAGAACTCTGTTGCTGATCAAGAGGCATTTAAGGAGATCGCCCATAACTCCTCAGGAATTCTTTAACGATCAGCAGCGCCCTCTAAAGACTTAGACAGCCAGTTGCGCAGCCTACAGCTCGGATTTTGGGCCTACCATGCCACACTGAGCAGCCCGCCATACCGGTGTCGACCGGAAGGAGGGTCTGCCGGCCTGCGGAACTGCCCTATATTCTGCCCCATTTCTGTCACCCACGGGAGAGCAGTTCCACGGCTCCAGCAACCAGTAAACAACAAGGTTAGTACTAAAACCGGAGAAGCAGAGCCAAGGGGTATCTGGGCAAATGAAAGAATGAACATGGTTATAGAAATAGTCGTTCTATGGTTGTCAGATCTGCCGCTACTCAGTCTGTCTGACCACACATAGATTCGATCAAACTACCATTACTACGGGTGGCAGATTGCTGCCCTCCATAAGGAGCTACGCTTGAGCTCTCAATATGTGAACGGTAGTTGGCGAACGACCGTAAGCTTAAACCACCAGTACACCCGCACCTAAAATCCCGAACCTACCTGCCCACTGCGCGCCACTATTTTCCGAGCCTTCTGCGTGAGGGTACCTGCAGTGGGAATTTCGGAAGCGCAAGCTTAAACCATCAGTACACCCGCACCTGAAATCCCAAACCTACCTGCCCACTGCGCGCCACTATTTTCCGAGCCTTCTGTGTGAGGGTACCTGCAGTGGGAATTTCGGAAGCGCAAGCTTAAACCACCAGTACACCCGCACCTAAAATCCCAAACCTACCTGCCCACTGCACGCCACTATTTTCCGAGCCTTCTGTGTGAGGGTACCTGCAGTGGGAATTTCGGAAGTGGCACTGGTGCCGGTGGTCTGCCTGAAGAGGAAAAAGAAACGAAAAGAAAAGAAAGGAACAAACATGCCAGAGAGCGATGATATCGTGAAAGGACGTCATGGAGGCCATACACAAATGATCACATTTCTTGAATGTATCTGACCACTATTACGGGGAGAGGGAAACGTTGCTGTTTTACCTTTTTTTCTCCTTATGTTATTTTCTTCCTGGCCCTCTTAGCAAGGCAGCCCGTATTCCTCTTGCTCAAAACTCACTCGCTGAGGGCATACTAAAACTAGCGATGTTGAAATGCGTCCAACCACTTTCACAGCCAAATCGCTGTTGGCTTTTTTTTTTTTCTTCTGATTTTTTTGAGAGTCCGACAGTCCTGCTCCCCGTGTTCTACGTTCTGCTGAAGTGCCCTCACTGAGGGAAAACTCGCACAAGTACTCGTGTATCCAACCGCAATCACGGCCAAAGGCTGTTTTTTTTTCTTTTTCTTTTTTTAGAGTCCGACAGTCCTGCACCCCATGTTCTACGTTCTGCTGAAGTGCCCTCACTGGGGGCAAACTCGCACGACTAACCAAAAAGTGCATCCAACTGCAATCACAACCAAAGCTTGTTTTGTTTTTTGGGACGTAGGGATTTGACATGGGCCCAAAATTCAAAAACCTTCCAAAATTCAAAAACCCTGCCCCGAGTCCGCCTTTCACTTCTTGTGGCGACAAGTTATTTTGCCGCAAGGCTGAGGCCGTGTACTGGTGGTTTAAGACTGTTGTCCGAATCGACACACAAAATTTGTTGTACCTGAAAAATGCGATCAGAAGGTGACAATTCCCTTAGTCTGGGCACTGGCACTGTATCTGTAAGTTGGCCTTTCTGAGCCAATCTGCTGCTGCATATCTCGAGTGTGCATTAGTGTAATCGATTGTGTGACCAGGCCCTCGGATTCCTGAGTCACAGAGTGCCCTGAGTCTAGGACTTGGCAATCAGCCGCTGAACACTCCAGGTCTTAATCTCGGAGTTTGGAATCCTGAATCTGTTGTTTCCGAGTCTGAATTCCGTAGCTTACGGTTCTCAGTCCGCAAGGTCTGGGTGTGTGGCTTCGCTAGATCCTCTTACCATGACTGCTTGCTGAAACTGCGGAAACCTCCAGGCTCCTGTACAGTCAAATTTTATCCCAGTGAAGTTATGATCAGCAGAACCTGAGCTGGATGTTGTCCTGCTGAGTCTCTGGGCAAGTTAGAAGACTGTTGTTCCTCTGGATGACTGTTTTCGTAGTCTAACTGTAGCTAGTACTTCCGCTGCTAATCAGAATTTGGGGTGTTTACCTGTGCTTCAGCCTGAATCGACATCTGCATCTGGCCATATCTCCGCCCCGCTTGAGTTGACAATGCTTAGTCCTTTCTGTTGGACTTACAGAGGTCTGCCAACCAACTTTTTGTGTATCTGATAATCAAATAAATACTCAAAATACAGAATGAAAGTTTAAATAAAGCCAGGCTCAACGTCCCTGTTCGCAGGTGCTGATCTGATATTTCAATGCAAAGCTCCGTTATTCCGTGCCAACCATCCGAATAGTGATGTCAAAGTCTGGGCTGCGAACAAGCTTGTCCGGTCTCAGCAAGAGTGAGTCGTTGAGTCCCTCGCTTGGGGGAGGCCCTCTTTCTGATTAGTTGTATCCTTCCCGCACTGCTTGATTGTTGGTAGCTGTTTGAATCTAGCTCACAAAGTTCGTCAGATTTGTATGTTCTTGTTTCAAATATGCAGATGTATCTCCGTGCCAGGCCTTTGCTCCCGTCAGTTCCCTCTCAATGTGGAATGTGCAGCCTTACTCTCTCCATTCCCTTCCCTCCGCTCTTACTGTTGCAGCACGGCGCTGTGTGAATTTGCCTATCCCAAGCATCAGATTTATTCACGGCCATTTATCGTCTCTACGGGATCAGTTCCCTCGCAATGTGGAATGTGCAGCCTCACTCTCTCCATTCCCTTCCCTCTGCTCTTACTGTTGCAGCATGGCGCTGTGTGAATTTGCCTGATCCCAAGCATCAGATTTGTTCACGGCCATTTATCGTCTTTGCGGGATCTCACCTCCACAACAGATTATGACGTGACTTCAAGATCACACGAAAGTGGGATCCCTACCAGATGCAGTGGTGAGAATGTATCTGCAGCTAGATCTTGGGAAGATACACCACCACATTACTTATTTCCCGCTCGCCTGTCAATGAGGTGCGCTGGAGTCTCTCTCCAGATGGATCCTGAGATGACGAAATGCCATATCCTTGTCCCCTGGTCGTCGTGAGGTCGCCCATTTTCTAACCAAAGAAGGAAAAAGAGAATGAATCCTTCAGCAGATCATGGAGAGGTACATTGTCGTACCCGCGCTTGATTGAATCTCTTCACTTTGGCGTTCGGAGCTGAGGAGAAATCACAGTGCGTCGACATCCATTGGGACCATCGGAATGCTCTATTGGATCCGTTTGCGCACGCACGTGTGCAACTAATTAGATGACGAGGCATTTGGCTAACTGATGACGCTACATGAAAGCTCTCCCTTTCTTACGCGTCCTCTCAATCCTCCCTTAGCGGTTCCACTCTCTCCCTCTCTGTCTGTACCTCTGCTTCTCTCTCTCCCACACAACCACACATCGTTGTACCTGGCCAGTGTCTTGGCTAGGTTCATACAGTCTTGGGTAGGCCAAGTACCGGTTAACTTTAGGCGCACAGACTGCCTCGAGCGAGATGAGCGACCCCGAGCATCACTATGAAGATGATCGAGATGGCAACCATCGTAACGAAGAGCATCTCGCCCTAGACACGTGCGAGGTAGTAGACGGTGACGATGAGCGGCTCGGATGAGAGTGAGCACCCAATCAGAATCCCGAGCTCTTCGTTCGCTATAGTCACGCTTGGGTTACGGAGTCCTCTCCTTCTGGCTGTGTGTGACCTGACATGCCACACGATTTGCCTCCTCTTGTTTTGCTTCCCTACCACACAGAGAGTCACATCTTTCTCTCACACTTGTCGCGCACCTATCCTGCCACGCATGGCAACTTGTCACACACTTGTCGTACACACACTTGCCGTGCACTTGTTGGACACTTGTCAGACACGTGTCGCACACTTATAGCGCACTTGTAGCGCACATGTTGCACACCCATAGCAGTTGTCGCCGTTGTCATGCTTGCCGCCCTGCTTGCCGCCCTGCTTGCCCCATGTGTTGGTTTGCCACCGGTAGCGACATTACTCTCAGTCAGGACATACTCGCACGTTCAGTCTCGTAAATGCATCTGAGCCGAATCACGGCAGGACTGGGATGAATCCAACTGCAATCACGCCCAGCGGGCATATCGGACTGTAATTAGGCCCACATGGATGAATCCGACAGCAGAGCCTTGTGTCGTGCCAACCGGTGAGTGCCCTTGTCGATCTGTCTGGATGTATGATCCTGATTACAATCGCCGCGTCCGTAGTGATGGGTATACTGAAGCTGATTCGTGATCTCGTAAATTTGGGTGTGCGCCCTTCCCTCCGTTGCTACTCACGTGGTTTCGCGCGTCCTTTCCATTGGCGGTTCTTATCAATGGTCGGCCGCTTTCCATTGAGACCTCTCTCAAAAATCAAGTCATAGCAGTGACACTCGGAGACTCACCAAACTTCGACGGGAGGCCCGACGCAACTCTTCAGATCTGTACATAATTCAATGGCGGTCGCGAGTTCAGGTCACCCGTTGTGTGTACCGCGATTTAACATTATAATTGCCTATCTTTATTGAAATAATAAATTATCCGGTTACCGTCGAGCCTGGGAAAATTCACCCTCCTTGGCCAATATTTCCCCATAGTCTTGCATGAACTTGGTTTTTCTCGTGTTGCCCATCCCCCATCAGCCAATTGTCTCCTGTCCGCTCCGTCCGCAAGGTAAAAAATTGTCGGCACAGGCCAAAGGAAGTGAAGGGCGACATAAGGCTTGGGCCACCCGATAGCAGACCTCCCCCCCCCCCCCCCCCCCCCCCCCCCCCCCCCCCCAATTCTGGACGTCCCCGGCAAGC